AGTTTAGATGCCTCCAATTCTGATATAACATCCATGTCATCATTGGGCTTGCCATTGCTGGTGCCAGCTGTTAAGGCATTTAAGTCGGTTGGCGTACTCTGTTTAACTTCCATCATTTTTAAGCTCGTGGGAAGATGTATTCAATGTGAGTTCTGCATTAAAGTACTGAAAAAAAGAGAGTAAAGTCAATTAGTAAAAAGTGTGCGAAGCTGCAACTTTAATTTAGAAAATATGAATTTATGTAGAGACTTAAGGGTAGCGAAGGACTTTATTAATTAGTTTTGATGATCACAAAAAATATCTACTTGGTCCTGCCACAAATTCTGTTATTCAACTTGATTGCCTTTTTCTGAAATTCAGGCACTTTAGCAGTTTGGTCAATGATAAATTGTTTTCGAATTCTTAAATGTGGAATTCCCGAAGGCTTATCTTCTGCAGAAATAAAATCTGAAACATGTTGGATGATCTCTCGGAACCCTTGGCTTAGTATCTGTTACATCTTTTCAATCAAGAAGAAGTATAACCGAGTAGAAAACAGATACTAAATAGAGCCAGCATTTTGCGATTTATAGCATTCTCGAGTGTTCTTAACCACGCTAAAATAGCGAACCTTTTCTGACTTCTCCGAAAGATTTAAAAAACTTAGTAAACAACAAAACGCTATGCTATTAGACGACCCCTAGCGTACAAACAGAAAAAAAGAAAGATGTACTTAAATCACCAGGTGACTTATTTTCTATATATGTACATATGTATGTAAGTACGACAAGGGTGGTTTTCTGATTGCTCCTGTGTCTCGCTTTATAACCGTAGGCATGCATCTTCCGTAGGGTACCTTTTTCTTTTCGCGCTAAGATTGAAAATGCTGGCAGGGAAAGCATACGTAATACATACACACATGCATACATATGGTGTGCATAGATATACCCAAGTTGGACCAGCAGCCTGCTCCCACAACAGTCGGGTGTGCGAAAACTAAACGAACCAGATTTACTTCCCGCCATTGACTGTCACTTCAGCAATATTCTACAAAACCGTTTTAGGGAATTTTTTTTATGGCGTTACAACAAAACCATCTAGTTGGACCAACTCGTTTTACGAGTAAATGAGTTTGTGCATAGTGACAAAGCAAAATAACTTTGCTATTGTGAATGAGTACTGGAAATTCTTTGGAGAATTTTAGCGAAGTGGTTAATTTTGATTAAAGTAATAATTTAGGGTCATAATATACTAATTTTAAACCACCAATTTACATTTCACAGCATCAAATGGACTAATGGTTGACTGTAGTTAAAAACAGCTGTTTTTTACTAGTTAACTGCAAAAATGGGAATAAATGCCCCTTTTTCCAGAAATGCATCAAGCCGAAGCATGAATCTCTTTTATTTTTAAACTATGATGGAAATGTCCGTGGAAATGTTTTTCGAAAAGCACTATTTTCGCTGTCTCTTATAAATTCCATCTTATACTTAGGTAATTTTATGACAGCTGCGAAATGTAAGAATTTTTAGTCAAGTTATAAGTGATTTTGCAACTCTGTAAGGAACAATTTTAGTAGTTAATGGATTTTATTGAACAAAAGATACAAAACTACAAACACAAAAAATTAAAACTGACTTGATAAAGTTCGAAATAGAGGGAAATCATTGAGTAAAACGACACGAGGTACTTAAGGAATACATTGATAATAGAACACAAAAGCGAAATAAGAAAACAAAACAGCATAAAACTAAAGTACGTAAGTCGCAAAAGATGTTTTCAGAAAAAAAACGAGGTACGTTAAACGTCAACAAGCAGCACAGGAAGAAGTGCTAAACAGATGAATAGAAGGGAAATGCAAAATCGACAAAGAGCACAAGCAGAGCAGCTGAAGAGAGAGAGAAAGAGAACATTGAGACAAGAGATTATTGTTAAAAAAAAAAATATTAAAAATTATAAATTAACCAAAAAATTTTCAAAAATAAATTTTCAACTTACAGTTACTTCTAGGGGGCGGCAAAACCGCAGCTGGTAATGATGTGATTAACGATAAGCAAACATACACACACATACACGTGCAAGCGGCAATAACAAACGCACTCCTCCCAGGCGCAACTCGCATAGACGGCAAAAATGACACAAAACACAACCGGCCGATTTCACGCGATGCAAAGAACTGAATATGTAGTGAGCGCAAAATTCGGTACGAACTACGCTGTCTGTGCTTGAACATGGATAGCTAGCTCGTATGCGTTCTCGTATGCCGATGCGCTACTAGGTAAAGTTTTTTTTTTTTTTTGTTTTTCACGGATCGAAAAAGTGAATGGGTCGGGAAGTGGACTACGAGCACGGATGTGTGCTGAGCTGAGTACTGGCTGCTATAGAAGGATTTCCACTGAGTATTGAAGACTTTTGATCGATTAGATATAGGGTAAGGTAAGAAGGCAAAACTTGGATTGGAGAATATCAGGTACACAAAGTTAAATAAATCGGGTTTTTTATGTAAAAGCAATGCTATTGTAAAAAGGTAATACTTTATATAAATGTAGGAAGCGTTTATTGCAAGTATAGCATGTGGAACGTAAGTGGATGCTATGTATTATACACAGCAGGCGTGTAGTTTGACGACTTTTTTGTAAGTACATATGTGTGTATGTGCGCAAGTTAGTATGTATCTATGTATGTAAATATGTACATATAAGTTATACTATATCTTTTAGGTGTAGGAGGTGTATTTATTTAAAATTAGTTACAAAAAAATTTTAAATTTAAAATTGTATAGCAACACTAAAACAAACAGCGCTATTAAAATGAAACGAGGTACCGACGACCGCCTCACAAAAATTTATACCCAATAATTAGCGGTATTAGGATCCACAATACAAAACCAATCGAAATTTAAATATTTAAACTCAGTAAAGAATTAATGGCTGAAAATTTAAAGAAATTGCATAACTTCTTTGTATTTATTCACCTACCTAAATGCAAAAGCTTTTTTGCACAAAAGCGCCGCCAAATATTCAGCTTTTTTTAAGTTGTGCAAAGCTTTTTGCTTTGCTCACAGATGACAATTAATAAACAATTTAAAACTTAATAAAAGAAATACATAGTTTACTAAAAGGTCAATGGGAGGACAATAAATAAAAAAATAATAATAACAAACGAAGTGAAATGCGTATTAAAATTTGTATATAACCTAAAAAGAATAGGCAATGTTTCAAGCATTTTGGAGGAAAGGCAATGAGGCCTCAGCTGATTTATCGCTCATTGACAGCTCAAATCGAATCTAAAAACTGAAGAATCAGCAAAACTCAAAACAAAAACAAAACACTCAAAATCACCCAGCCCTGCAAGCTACATACATATCTTTGTATGTATGTATGTATGGTACGTTAACCGCGCCAGCTAGTGGCGCCTCCTGAAACACCAACAATAGGCAAATTTCGCAAAGCTGCCGCACGCAGGCAGAGGCGGCGTTGCACAAGTGCATGGGTACGCAACATATGATGCATCCATATGTAGTACATACAAACATACAGACACCATCCACACGCGTTGCAGTGTGGATGCTAAAGTAATGTGAAAATAAAGATGACTTTAAAGACTAGATATCTGGATTCTACGCTGAGCTGGCGACACCTAAGAATACATACGATTATTTAGGGTCAATGTATCGATAAGCAATTAAAGGAACTTGGATTAGAAGAAGCGATATATCCGAAAAGTTTGCTGAGAAAAACTGATACGATTTTGTAGTAAACGACTAATCAAACTAGGTATTACGAATTACGAAGACGATATACATATGTATTAGAAATTTAAAAGCTATGCCACTAACTATGGAAAAGTTTATGGTTGGAACAGCGTAACAAAATTTAATCAGAGAAATCATAGGCACTTACAAAAACACAAACACACAGACATTGCGTTACAGCTATCGACAATATGGAAACGAATGAAAGCGAACGATGCACGCTTTGAGTTGTAAAAGCGAGAGGTATGTAGCTATACTGCTGGCAGCTATGCGAGTCTAAATGAGGACAAACTTTGGGTTAGATACACTTTTTTACAAAGAAATACTTTAGACAAAAACTTCAAAAAAACTATATTTTGAAAAACAGGATAAAGCATAACTGTAAGTATTCCGAAGCACAAAAAAGAGAAGTAATCATTTTAGTGTTGGAAAAGAATAAAAATAAGTATGTATGTAAGCACGCCTATCAAAACTTTTCAGACTCGATAAATGTTTAGAAACATTTTCTCATGTTAATGTAAAGATTTAGGTAAATATTAATTTAAAAAAAAAAAGTTTAAAAGCTTTAGAAAAATATGGCATATAAAAATTTCGCAGACCAAAGCCACAAAGTAGTAAAACATGCAAGCCAACTAAACGAACGCCCAGAGAGAGCAAACCAAAATAAGACAACTAAAACCGAAGTTGTTCGTTTGAATAAAAAAAAAAGCTACGTACATACATATAAGTACTCGTATAAGTAAAAACTAGGTGGTTCGTCGATGTGGCTGGCTAGTGGATGGATCCAAGTTAGAAGGGGGAATATTGCATAGACGAGCTGAGCTGGTTGGAAGCGAGTGTGTATTCGGCGGTTTTTTGTAAAATCGATAGAAATGATTTAGTAGAAGCTAATAAAAGTTTTTGTTAATTTAAATTTAAATAAAATTTATACAACACGACATAGTTTTACATAGAAGCAATAAACAAATTAGACAAAATAATGTGTTTAATTAAAATTTTTTTAAATCAACAGGCAATTTTGTGGGTGTTAATTTCGATGTAGAATCTTAACTCATATCGTCGTTTAAAGTACAAAACCGCGTATCAACAAAATGCAAAACCGCGTATGTGAGGTTGCATATGAGTACACTCATATTTCAAAATGGTTCTCCTTTTTATAAAGCAATCGCATTTCTTGCTAGTATATTTCAGGTCGAATGGATAAGGATTGAGCCAAGAGCTTGTGAGAGCAAATCCAATTTTATGGCAAAAAATGTTAGTTACGCGGTTTTGCAGAACGGCGATACGCGCTTTTGTACTTTAAACGACGACATGTATTTTGAAATAAGTAAGAGGAATTAAAAATGCATCGTTTTCAAAGGTATTAAGGTACGTTTTACATTTCTTCCCTTTCATATTCAACGAAAGGCAAATTCACCAAGTCCAAAAGAGG